TGGGGTTTCAGAAAACGGTAAATTAAAACGCACAAGACAGTGCTTTACACGCTTTTTTAAAAAGCACTCTTGGTTAGAAGAGAACCTTTTTTGATTCTATTTCACGGCCCAGGAGTCTGTGTGCTTGAGATTTGGAGAAACTGACCCTGGGATTTGAGATTTGGTGGCAGCCTGGATCTGTTAAAAAAAAAGTCCTGCTGTGACCTTCAGCAGGCTGCCCTCTGTCTCAGTTGACTCCCCTAAAAGATAAAGAGATGAGATTATATTATTTCTGCGGTCCCTTTCTAGCACCAGCTTCTCTTAATTTCCTTTAATATGTGACAGTGAATTCTTGCAAAATCTAAATATTTGCAAAAGCCAGCAGGACCGGGATAAAGGCAAGGCCCCTCGGCGCCCCTGTATCTGCAGCATGTGGAAGACTGTTTGGTGGACAGTAGGGACCAAATAAATAGAAAAATAAATACAAGTACAAGGAGGGGGAGAAAGAAGGGAAGAAACTAGCACAGAGTGGCTCCTGCAGCGCGTTCTTCGAGGCTGCCTAGATGTCTGTTTCTATTAAGTAGGCAGAAGAGAAAAGCTTTGCATTTAGGAATTAAGAAAGACTTAGTCGTTTAGGAACTTAAGTGACTTAAAAGCACTCTGTGCTTGGAATTCACGATGCCTCCAAACTGTTAGGGCCGAAAGGGACGGTAGGACATCTTTGAGTCAAATCCTTTCATTCTCCAGATGGGGAAATCCAGGTGCCCGAGGGCTGAAGTCACAGCTCCGGGTAGAGACTGGGCGTAGATGAAGATACGGGTCACTTGGCGAGACTCTAAAATCCCACAGGAATATTTAATGGCTCTGTGAGAAGTAGCAGTTAGGATACAGGGTCCCCAGCACTTCATGTACTCGTTATTGTGTCTACATATTTATTTTACAGAGAGAGTAAAAAATCGTCCGTGTCATTACCAAACCAAATTGAACCTCGGCAGTCTTCTAGTTTGCTGGATCAGTCTCTCTCTCCCCCACCTTCTCTCTCCACGCACGTGTCCACTGCGCGCTCCTTGGCAGTCTGTCTTATTTTCACCCAACACGTCGAGGACATCCTTCGCGTCAGCACGCACACCTGTATCTGTAATGGTCATGGATTGTTCCTTTTATTTGGTCGTATA